TGGCAAAAATTGTGGTCTCAAAATTATAAAATGATAATGTCAACAGCATACAAAGAAAATTCGTATAAGATGTTTTACAGGTGCCACTAACCCCTGATGAGAATAGCAAGAATGTTTAAGAATAAATCCAGAAAATGTTGGAAATGTCATCAGATACCAGGCTCATATTACCATATGTGGTGGACATGTGCAGAAGCTAAAAGATACTGGACTAAAATTTTACACATGGTTGGAAAAAATGATAGAAAAACATAGACTTCAAACCAGAGATATTCTTATTGGGGATTTTGCTGGAAATATATAGTAGACAATTGAAATATCTGATTGTAAATGTGTTAACAGCAGCTAGAATTGTATTTGCAAAGAAATGGAAAAACAAGAAAACACAGGAGGAAGTTATTCAGAAAATAATGGAATGTGACGAAATGAGCAAACTGACATTTGAAATCAGAGAACAAGAAGATAAACAATTTTGGAGGAAGAGCCAATGTCGCTACAAGACGGACATGCGATCTCAATGCTCTGAGATCTCTATCAAAACTTTTATCACTGGGTGGTCCAATCGGACCTAAACTGTCCCGCAGAGATGGTGAATGTGAAGAATACGTCCTGCTGATCTCAGGGACACCGCAAAGTCCCTGATCAACCCAGAAGAAGTTCTTCTAGCTGGAGATAAAAGCACAGCCCCTAGGCTGATAGAGTTGGGCGGCTCCAAATGGAAGGAAACGGAAAGAAAAAGTGTTTACAGCTGGTGAGGAATTTTTACCATTTTAAAAGAGACTGCCTACAAAAAACTTAAAATTAATTTAAATCTGAGAACAGAAAAAATAAGTGGCGGAATTAAGTTTTGAATGGTTTTGGTCAGTGTGTTATCTTGCTCTTAAATGGATGGAATTTATGCAAGGCTTTTAAAATGAGTGGATTAAGTTTTCTTCTATCATTATTATTATTATTATTATTATTATTATTATTATTATTATTGCAACCTATGGACTAAAATTCTCCTTCCTCATTACTACATATGTATTTCTCTTTTTCTTCTCTATTTTACTCAAGAATTTGATTTTTATTCTTTTAACTTGGAATATAAGAAAGAAAAGAAAAGAAGGAAGGAAACAAAGAGAATTCTAACAACAGAGGGAAAGTTAGTGTTGTAGCTCGAAGGCTGGAGGCTTGTGTATTGGGAACAAAGCACTTTCACTTTCCTCACTGAACAGTCTGGCTTGGCAATTCAAAGTCTCACAG